AAGCAGTGGTATCAACGCAGAGTACTTATGTTAGTGCTTGCACATATAATATTAGAAGAATTTATGTAGTTGAATGGTGTTTGGTTTGGTCCAGTCGAATCGAACGTCAAATTCGTACCAGTTCGGTTTGCGCTATTTCAGGTCTATGCGTTCTCAAATTTCTAATGATGATATATCTTTTCCGGAGCTTTTACCCTTTACTGTCCATCAAACGAAGTGCTAAGTCATGTACCATTCCTATTCGCCTTTAATGAAAAATATAGCATTAAGATAAACAAGTACGATATGTGCACGTTTCGGACTATTTCGATGTGGCGAGACACAGTATGCGGTCGTACATTACTGCACAGTCTTTATTGTTTCACATTTATTCTGCAGCTAGGGTGAGCATCCATGTTTCAGCAAAGCTTTCCGTTTTTTCTACAATCATCTCTTAGGTTGTCTGAGAATATGACAGAGACAAATACGACACAAAATGAAATTAACGAAACCCTCACAATGAAATTTCTGGCAACAAACTTTAGCAGTGCCACATTCAATATAGAGTCTTCGACGACAACTGCTGTGCCAAAAATTCCTGTCTGGGAGGGGTGAGCTTCTTGCTCTTAAAGAGGGTCAGATGTGACGAAGTAGGCGGTCTTGATGAAAGTTAGTCCCCTAAAGTACGTGAATATGAGGTACCCTTTGATTCAACTGGCTTGGCTTCTCGAAGGCGGGGTTTCGTGACCTAGTTTAGGCTAGATAATGATCAGAGAGCACGCGCGCGAGAGAGACGCAGACTCGTCCCGGGCGCGAGCGGACTTAATTAAGTCACAGAGCCCCGCCTTTCAGGAGACAAGCCAGTTGAATCAAAGGTTAGGCGCGCAAAGGCGGCGCAGGAGTGGTTAACTGTCTCTGGCATCCGTGCTCTTAAACGGCGACGGTATTCTACATTCGCGCTGCTCCGCAACGACAATTATTTCAAGAATTTACTCATGGAACAGTTTTATTTATTCATTCTGTTGAAAAACCCTGAACTGTTTTCACCTCACACTTTTTCCACTTAAAAGTATCACAGTAATTGACGGTTGACAATATCGCCAGAAAAACAGCCTGCAGTGTGTCAATGCTAGCCGGAAAGAAACATACATCGTATTTTGTGGATACTTGCTGTTTTAAAAAATATGAAGACTGAAATTACAGGCTCCTCCTCTTAGCATTCATTTCCGCCTGTCTTATTGCTGGAGGATTCCTCTACGCTCTTTTGCTTTGGATTATTTCCAAAGTGTATTATTTCAATGGCGATGAAGAGCAGAGAGCTACTGATCCCGAAAAAGAGGAGGTGAGATCTAGCATAAGTTTAGCGACTTAATAACAAATATTTTGGAAAAGCAAAGGCCTTTTCGCACGGCGTAACATTCTGACAGTGATACAAGCGTGTATTATTTGCAGAACTTGCAAAGATTAGAACAAAAGCCCACCCCTTCAACACAGCCACTGCAACCGCCTGGATTAAGAGTTCCAACGGAAAACCTCGTAAGCACATTGGTATCTGCACATGAAAAAGATTGCGATTATAGGGAGAGACGAACAAAAGCAATGCTTCCATCTTTATTCCAAAGCCTTTTTAGACATTTCCTTCTTTCAAACATCAAAATGCTCCAATATCGTGCATGAAACTGACAAGGGGAAGGTTGGTCGAAATGGCCTTTTGAAATGAGATGTATACTGCCTTGTAGAGCTTGTAAAGCTGATTTCAAATCTACCTTTGCTATCTGCTGCGGGCTTCTGGGCGAGGAGTTATGAAGGTTTTTGTGAGTAAAAATCTGAATGCAAGAGTAAGCTAAAATCAGTCGTAACATTTTTTATAGGGTTTGATTGGTAGTCGGATCACTCGGTGCAACAAATATTCTCGATTCAAATATACCAATTCGCTGCTGCCTCATTTGAACATTGGGAAATAGTTACGACTGATTTTACCCTATTTTTTGCATTCAAATTTTTACTCACAAAAACCTTCACAACTCCTCGCCCAGAAGCCCGCAGCAGATAGCAAAGATAGATTTGGAATCAGCGTTCCAAGCTATACGAGGCATTATAAACTTCATTTTAAAAGGCCACTTCGACCAACCTTCCTTCCCTTGTAAGAGATCTTGAAGACACCGTCCACCCAGACTGGGGGTGATAGAAATTTGATGCCATATAATAGGAGGAAGAGTGTTGAGCTGCGTGACATTCTAGATACTCCTTTCAATATTCAACAGTGGATTTGAAGGAGCTGTCAGAGCTTCTCTGACTTCAATGTAGTAGTCTGCAACGATGTTATGTCGGTCACATTGGCGCGAAATCCCGATTTTTATGGCAAAGCAAATGATTTAACCGAGTCACTACTCAAGTGAGCCAGAGCAGCGCTTCATCCAACCTTAAACTTCGACAAGTGCCGTGAAATAAACTGTCACAGTAATCATTCCAGCGTCACGCATTGGACAACGAAAAATCGCAAAGTCTTGAAGAAGTCACGTTTGACTTGGACTCTGATCACCTGAAAGATAAGGGAGCCTCGAAAGATTATCTGGCTATTGTGAGTGGTGGACTTTTGAGACAACTAAGTAATCACCACTCATTTTTAGAATGCAGTGTATAAACCTACTCCAACTAAAAAAGGAAACAATGACACTAGCAATCCGCGAACGGCGCAGAAATGCTCAACAGAGAAACAAGATAATCTCCTGCGTCCAGAAGAACCAAATGAGGAGAGCGACAAGAAGAAGTCAGACAGCGAAAAGCAACTTTCAACAAAATACTCTTCTAGATCTGATTTGCATCTGAGTCCACCACCAACTCCAAAATTTGTGTCCCAGAGTGAAAGAGGCAGCGACACTCAGCGAAGTGCAAAGTCAGGAACCGTTGGATATTCTGAAAAATCTCAGAGAAGGTCGTCCAGAGCAGCAGAGTCTCTAAGAAAGCCTTCAGTTTGCGAGCGCTATTCGAACAGGGCCATGGGCGAGTTACTGCTGCCGTTAGAGGAGTTAGAAAACTGAAGATGTCACTATGAAAAACCCGAAACTCGTAACTAGATTTTACCAACATATCTTCTCTCTCAATAAATATTAATTAACGAAGATTACGTGAACAGACCAAGACAAAATGTTTTTCTACGAAATTTCCTACGAGATGTTCTCGTGATGAAACTGGTATTGGGATCAAAATGGTAGTGATGAGATCATGAACATACAGTCGAACCATTTCATGGGTTGACTGTATGTTCATTATCTATTCTTAGGCCAAGTGTGCGTTTACACACTGCTCATCTTTATCGCCATTATCTTGGATTCGCAACCGCTAAAACGCAAAAGACTGACCGGTTGTTTTCGTAGATCACTCTGAAGTGATTATTACCTAAAAAGGAAAGAAAACATTTAGAACACAAAGATTGTCTTCTCCAAGAATCTTGGATGAGAACGCCGAAGGTGGGAAATGTGTGTAATGGCACACATGATCGTATGATGATTTAACTGTATCCTTTGATATAATCTGTCGAAGTTTTGCAGAAAAGCCTTATTATGATCCTAGTAAGCATTAAATTGATAGTTTATCCCTTTTTAAGGAGCGGACGCGAATCTGAAAAATCTATCGTTTTCAGCTCCGAATATTATTAGGTTTCATAAGCTCGTAGAGTATCTGTTCTTGTTCTCATTTCTTTTAGGTGCTGTTGATTTGCGGCATGCTGCACATATCATGGAGAGGAGCTGATCATGCTTTCTAGAATAAACCGATCAATTTTGATAAAGATTCGATTTGCTTGTCTTTTCAGTTTCCAATGTGGGTCTCTCGAGAAGCAAACAGAAAATTTCGGCATCTGCTCAATTTTCTCATAAAAAAGCGTTTTGCGCAGATTTTTGCCATTGCGGAAGGTGGCGTATTTCTGTTAGCAGGGCAAAAAAGTTAACTTGCTCAAAAACCAAGAGTTAACGGGGTATCCCTCGACAAGACTTTTTGTAAAAGGGCAGGATGTTCTGCATCGATTTGCTAAACAAGAACAAGTTGGTCCTCCACCTCCCGTAGCCCAACTGCATCTCATATCAGGCAAATTTTTACTGTCGGTATTAAAATCAGCTTCAATGAGTTTTATGCACGACAAATCATGGCCCTCTAGGGCCAACCTCGTCAGTACACTCCTGCAAGACTTGCCTGAAGCTACATCAGTATCCAGTGTACTCCTGAGATGTCGCTTAAGCAAATTGTTACCTGTTCCTTGACTGTTCCGCAAGCTGTATAAACGATGTATGCTTCGATTCTGATGACCATCCCAGGCGCTAGTTAGTCGGCTTTTGCGGGACAAGACTCGCGAAAATTTGGGAAACGGAACTAAAAATCAGACGGACTGGCAGATTGTGCGCAACAAAGGAACATACCCAATTGAGTTTCGTTAGAATGTCACTTTGTTTTCATAGAACTCTAAGGACTTACGAAACGACTTAATATTTGATAGATGTGTAGAAGAACTGACTGGAAAATCGCACGCCTCACTAGCCACAGCCTCTAAATTTATTATTCGATCAGGATTCATATCCATGAAAGTCCATAATGGAGGAAAATGGACTTACTTAGTCCATTTTATTCGTTCGCGTTAGAAAGTGGTCGAAATCGGCTCCCGCTTACGATATCCAAAATTTTTCATCCCATCGCAACCGCGAGGCAAAGCGGTGAAATGAAAATGATTCAAGCTTACTTAAGCTATCGCTCGCGGAAGATGACGTCAAAAGAACATTTTAGAATGGGGCAAAATGGAGTTCACCTTCATGTTCATTCTCTCTCACCTTTCTGATAAGCCCATTTTACTCCCAGCAGCCAGATGTGCTGGGACTAAGCCCATTTTTGACCTTCTTGCATATTTTTGATTGCGATTTTTTGAGAATATGTTCCCTAGCCCATTTTAAGATACCAAGCGAACGGAGAATGTTTTATCTTCTTTAGGAGGGCCAAAAAACTATCTTTTCCAAACAGCCTTGAAATGCTTTGAAAATCATAGAAAGAATTTTTTTCGTAGACAGTTGAGACAGACAGACAGACAGACACAAAGACTTCAATTCCAAATTCGCTATTTTGAGTTTGGTAGCAAGAAGTATTGAAGTACCGCTAGCAAGTCAGAATGTTCTGTGAAAAATTTCTTACTAGCTGTAGTCTATACATTAGTCACTTCTTGTGCTCTCGTATGGAAATATTTAAAAAAATCGCGATTTACCAAAATTAAACAAGTCATTTTATGAAGAAAAACTTCTCTACATCATTTTGTCACCGAAAACACTTTTCAATACCCAAAACGTCGAAGCGAACTCTGTTTTGTTTTCGATTATAGAGCATCACATTAGGGTTGAGAAAAAAGGTTACCTGATTGATACTGGATTATGCGAGAGCTTTTTCAACAACCGGTTAATCTGAATTCTGTTCAAAATCTATAATAAGGTTGCCAGTAGCAAAAGGCGTTGGTTCAAGCATTCCCTAAATGCTGAGACGCATATAAGTCCGCTCTGCTTCAGGTGTTCGTAACACTTTCCCTAAGCAACTTTGATCATCAAAAGCACATATGACTTGGGATCAGAGTATATGCATAGATCAGTTCTAAACGCAAAATTGAATTCAGTGACTTTGTCATCATTCTAATATCCATCCCTCAAACTCATACAATTGATGCAAGAAAAAGAGCTTCATATATTAAACGCCATATTTGTATGAAAGTTTTGGGGTTGCTAGAGTACAGCATGGGAAGCCATCAATTTCTTGCAGTTCCAAAGTTTTTCCAACTTAAAAGCCTTTGTGTTGCAGTGTAGTACAAGGTTTTCTGTGAGATAAGCATTTTGATTCACAAATTGCAATGGAAGTCTAGCCAAAGTTTGCTTTCTGCTGGAAACTCCACATACGAATTTGATTCAATGCAGATTCATAGAAGTTTTGAAAAGCGAATGCCCTGATATTACTTGGATTTTAGATGGACTGAAACTAATTTAGATGCATAGTCATAGTTAATAAATGGCATTCTATGAGGTGTAATGAAATGGAAAAGAACGGAGTATCCACGTGACTGATATAGTAAAGTTAGATCAGCCTAGATATCGACCACTTGGTGGGAATGAGTTTGCAAGAGTGAGTAAACAGGTTGAGGCAAGTTGAAGAAAGGTTTGCTGAAGCATTTTTGTATGGAATGAATGGATTCGCAAACGCGATATCTTATCGCACCGCAGGGACTAAGCCCATTTTATTCGCGTTTCATTTGCGAAAAGCCCATTTTTAAATGGACTTTCGTGGATATCATTCCAGGTCCACTTTTACCTGAAGTGAATTGTTTGTTTTAATCTAGCCGATTGTTTTCAGCAAAAAAAGAGAAGACCATAAAGTGTTTGATTGTGTTTTTTGATAAGATTATTTATGCAGATAATCAAGTCACACTCAAAAAAACTAACAATGTTATCGGTAATACTAACAAAAGTTTTGATTCTATCGAAATTTACCTTAATGTTATACATAAAATATTGAGTTGCTAACTAAGTGTTGCATCTGTCTAGGTAGTTTTTTTGCACATCTACACTCAGAGTTTGATAGTGTTCAGAATAAGATTTGTGTTACAAATGCAGCTTTTTGTGCCAAAATCTGGCAACGCGTGTAAGGGTTACGATAGGTGTACGGTAAAGAAGATAAAAAATTCACGGACCGTTCTATCGTTACATTGCAGTCGACACGTTTTACGAAAATCATATATATTTTGATTCATAATTTGCACGATAATGACTCTCTAAATAGGGCTCAAAAAATTACAATTGACACCAAATGAATATGATAGTGGTTTTTAGCATGTAGATACTATATAGTGCAAAACCTCAGCAACTTCTGAGGTTTCGTTCACTGGTTAGTGATAGACGTTGGCATCACTTTTGAAGAACGCGAGATTTCGACGAGTCTCCACACTACTGTATCCTTTTTAGGAGCACTGCCAATCTCTGACAATGATTTTGCAATCGGGATGATTTGTTTGGCTTGGGTTCTACGCGGCTCCATCTCTGCTTGTATTTGAGCGAAATTCCAAATTTCATAGTTTTGGAAAAACGCGCAAATTTTTTTGATTTGGTTATAAAAAAATCGAAGAATTTGTGCTCACTTATGGCTCATATTGCCATCTACATAATGCCAAAGTTTGAACAACCATATGCAAAGAGAGAAAAGTTATGGATGTTGCAAGACTCAATTAACAATCTAATAATTCGAGTAATATCTACAGGCAGCAAATTCAGGGTCTGCTAGCAACTTGATGCGCATCTGACAATTTATCGAAGATCGAGATCAACCCTTTTATCGATAAAATGTTGTACAAAACGCAATGCTTATTTGCTCACGGATCGCACGAACATTTTGGTCATTCCCCGTGATATTTCACACTCGTAAAATTATGTTTAAAAGCCATAAAGATCTGTGAAAATGTTTATTTTATCGCTTTTCTCTAAATCAAACCCGATTTCACGTCACATACGTCCAATAGCGATTGATTTTTGCTCTTTCTCTGAAAATTTTCATCCACAGCTCTAATTTCTCAGCCTTTTGCTTCAGCAGAGATCATTTTCATTTGTTTTAACCCTACGGTGCATATATTAACGTCACATTTCCTTTGTGGCTCATAGCTTTTCGCCTTAGAGACTTCAATAGATGTTTTTTTAAATCTTTTTTTTAAATCGCTGTTTCCAGAACATAAGCGTGCCGCAAATTTATTTCTTCGATCTTTTCATCTTTGAATTTGTGCGTTGTGCCAACTTCCCTAACATGCTGTTAAGATCTGACCAGACGTTTCTTTTTATCGATTAACGGGCATTCAAATATAATTTTACTATCCATAAAACTCTGACCGCAAAGCCTTCTTCGCATACCAAATATGTCTTAATGGTTATGAGCACAACCAACCAAGAAATTAGGCGTTTGGAAGATTACCAAATTTGATGAGTCTTAAAGTATAGATCCAGTGATTGGAACTCGATCTCTTTGTAAGACGCAAATAGTCTCAAAAACAAAGGCAAATTATTCTATTGGTTTTACCAATTTTAATCTTTCTTGCTTTTCTTGCTGGTTCACAAATCTATGTATAGGCGCATCTAGAGCACATCGAATAAAAAATAAAGTAAAAACCAAGTCAACTGTGGTTTTGTTTTTCAATGCTGGTAAAAATTCTGAATTTTTCTAATCTTTTTGACTATTGTATTTGAGGGTTTTTGAGGTTGTAAGCTATCACCAATCAACTCGCCAATTAGTCTGTGTCAGTGCTTAGTAATCGTTCCTTTGATTACTCTCGTGTCGTAAGTCAAACTGCGGAAGTCATTACTCGTTTAAATCATCAATCATAATGTGACATCACTTGTCTGAAATTTATGTCTTTGTGGTAACGGAATACCGTAACTTCGAACCTTTACGTAACTCTTGTCTAGGTTCAAAATCCTCTACTTCTTTACCGTAGCATTTGTTTTTGTATGTCTTCCAAAGAAGGCAACGTTATCAACAATTCTGCGAAATAGATAGAGTCTTATAAATTTTTTTCTCTTCACAAATTATTTTTAGGAAGCCAAGCGTCACTCTACAAAGATGTGGCGCACTCTCTTGCGAAGATCGTCTTCTGCCTCAACTAAAGAAGAAAGGATGCTGATGCTTGGAACTAGTTTAAAGGATATCCACGGTCATGAATATTTCTTCACGGAAAGTAGCGTGAGTTTATAATTCAAAGTTCGACGTTGTCTTCCAAGCTCTCGACCTTCCAACTTTTCGTTCTAAATCTTATCTTCGCATTTTCCACATTACTGTCACTTTTTTCTTTTTTTTCTTCTTTTGTGCAAATGTCCAATGTCTAAATGTCTAAATGTCTATTACAAACATTCAACAACTTACATTCCTCAATGAACGTTGATTTGACGAGTGGGGAAGGATAGAACCTGCGCTGATTTTGCTCTATATAAATGGGGCTGCAAATTTAGATGTTCGATTCGGATCAGTTCAATTTGTCAATGCTACATTGAAATTAGAAGGTCGCGAAAATTATAGATTTCTTGCTATCTTATCGCAAGCTAAGTCGGTTAGCAGGGACTCCTTTACTTTCATTAAAAACTTATCTGAGAAGGAACTGAATGAAGAGATCATTCAAGCTTTAAATATCTCATGTTCATTCCCAGAATTCCAGAATTCCAACTGAAGTGCACCAATATGCTTTCTGCCGTTTTTCTTGTAAACTTTGTACTAACTGTATCTACAAGACTTGCGCTGCCATTTCGGCAAGATTTTGTTAAAGACTGCATTTCAGCACTTCAGTGCTCCAGGAAGAGTAGGCCACAATTTGTGCATATTGTTGACAGTCTCGTGATTCAACGGACATTTTATATTTGGCGAACGAAATTCGAATGAAGCCTAGACCAATTTCTCTCCATCTGCTTCTGTTCTAGAATTTGCCCTTGCTAAAAATCCGCTAAGATGCTTTTGCAAATATACTTATTTCCATTCTACAAATCAAGGAGCGAATGCGCTCGATCATATGAAGTTATGAGATTGACCTAATCTTCCCGAATTGGCCTGTGCCTCTGTCCTGAATATCCGTACGTGGAAGATAGCAATGGAGACTCAGATCTTTATCTCTAATTTGAAAAATTGAATTGAGTCAAAAAAATTCTCCGCCTTTCCATAGAAAGAGGGTCGTTTGCTACTCCCCTGTACCTTCTCACTCAAACACAAGATGCTCAAGACTTTTTGAGTTGTTTATTCGTAAAAACATGTTCTATCGGTACCTTGTAATGCTAATTCGATAATCACGATTGAAAGTCCACCATCGTATTATCTGCCATCACATCTATTCATCCCATTTACTCATGTTATCGTTTCTTTGAGACTGAATTCATGTTTTATGAATTCAGAAGTGTTGTGTTATATTCAAGCAGAGTTGCTGCGTTCTCATTAAATAGAAATATCTGGAGAAGCCCATTTCCTTGCATTTTCTCTCTGCTCTGCATTAATAAATCGTAGCATTTCCCTCATGCTAACTTTTTACGAGCGAAAGATAGCAGTGGCAATTTGCGATAGTCTTTAACAAATGACTCACACGTGTTTTCCTGAATCTTATGGTCTGAGATTTTCGTCTGAACTGAGAATTTATGGTTGTCGTATTGTAGGACTGGTTCCATATGGTTTTGCATAGGATAACAGATAACCGACTCTCCTCCTTACTGTATGATTACGGTAAAAACTTCTAGAAATTATGAGCTTTTGAGAACATATACTCCTCCCCGAGAAATGGTCTTATAGAACTGAACTTGACCAAGTTCTAGCATTGGGTTTCAATGAACGATTCACTTTCTGTAATCTTTGACTCAAAAATTACTCGATAAAAGTGCTAACAGCGGTTTTCTCATTAATTATCAGTAATCTGATTTGCCTTTATGTTGTTCTTCAAAGATGTTTAAATTTACTGCAAATCTTCGGGTTTGGAGAGAATCATAGAAGATTTGGGACACTTCGAGGCTCTTATAAAGCAGCTAGTTTGCAATGACATCGCGCTGCAGGATCTTACCGTGATGTGAAGTAAAAAGAGCGACGTGTAAATTTGAAGACAGCATCCAGGCAAATCTGAACATATGGGGATCTTACATGGATATAATTTTGGGACTCTAACTAAGTCACTGCCCAAGGGGCACCTCAGGTAGTGCTCTAGCGGCTGAGGTATCCCCTCGAAACTGGACCTTAGAATCGTATTTGATCGTATTTCGCATGAATCCATGGCGCAAGGCGTGGGACATTGCGCAAAACTGATGGTTTGCGCCATGAATCCATGCGAATACGATCCTGGGGTCCAGTTTGAAGGCGTATATCTTAGGCGTTAGCGATTCACCTGCGCTGCCACTCGGGCAGTACCATAGTTAGGGCCCTTTCTTCCCAGTAAAATCCTCATAGGTCCAGATTTGCCTGGACGCTGCCTTTAAGTTGAAGATAGCCCTACCCATATGCGGGAGACGGTCAAGAGGCGCGATTTCTCTGGCTGTCACCAAATAATTACTCCAGTTTAGTGCTATGCGAGTCTTTGAGAATTACCAGATAAAGTGCATTAGCTTACTCTCCGTCTGAGGTCACCACTTGCTGATTTTCATGGTTTTTGCTATAAACGGACTGAGATACTTACGAATTTGTTCTGAAATGCATTTTCATGAGTTTTTGACCTTCAAAATGGCTGTTTTGAATTTTTTCTAGAATATCAAGATTGAACAACTCATGCAACTACCTAATATATCTTTTTCTAGATTTCATATACTTTTAGAGTTGCAGAACACTTATTATGTGCTATTTGGTGTCCAGCTGGCAATAAAAATCGCGCCTCTTGACATACACCCCCTATATGCTACCTAAAAATCTGCAAAGATGTTATGGATAGGATTATTAGTGATTAAACATTCGGGAACTGTGTATGTCGCTTCAGTTATCACAGTAATTTCTTATTCTTCCCTTTTCAGCAGAATTGGTTACCTACACCAGTCAACGTCACACCGACTTGAACATGATCAAAGAATTCATTATCTGCGAGCAAAATATAACATACTATATATAACATAGTTGGCTTTCCCGGTCCAGCACGGGTCATTGCTCACCTGCACTTCGAGCCCCCCCCCCCCCCTCTTATATGTTATAGATGACTTACCCTGGGACATCCGCTTTGAAACCGCATCCTTTTGATCCTGAAATGAAAATGAGCTTCACCGCCCTCCTTTACATGACTATGGGAAAATGCTTGATCAAACATGATAAGCCTTCAATTCCATAGGAAAACGTAAACAAATCAATAAATCGATAGGTGAACCAAACGAACTTCAGTGAAAGGTACCCTAAAACCGTCTCCGGGATCGAAAACATCTGTATGCAAACTTTCAGGCGCGTTTATATAACTCACATACCCTCCAAACAGACAATTTTTGAGTTTTATGTATATAGAGATAACTAATAAGCCATATAGGACTTAATGTTTATCAGCGCTCCCAAAGCTTCTTTTAAAACATTTCGCTTAACCAACTCTAAGAAGGGAGAACGAGGAGGGCACCCTCTGACAAGAAAAATTTGTGGGCTTGGTTGGAGCACCACTTTTCAACATAGAAATTCTTGCCCTTTTTCTCATAACCGCTAGCACTATATGTAGTACAATACCGCTCACATTTTTTGAAAAATAGACGCGAATGTATGGACAAGTCCATACATGTACGGACATGTCCATACATGTATGGACATGTCCATACATCAGCGTCTATTTTTCAAAAAATGTGAGCGGTATTGTAGATGGGATGCTACGTAAGGACTTTCACTCAACTTCGTTTCCTAACCACCAATCTAACAAAGCATAGTTGAGATTTTTGTGGTATTTGTTTTATTAGGGCATCCGTTAATATCACTGCAATCAACATTCAGTCACCTACCGGAGTTTTCATTCCATTTTGCTATCCGAAATGTCACTATATCGAATGTTGTCGTTGCCGTCCTTTAAGAAGGTCATGAGCAAATAGGAGGGCAAGTCTTATATTCTCCCTTTTCAAAGCCTTTTGGCATAACAACTTTTTACAAACCACCCGGAGTTCTTCATCGTGTCAGCATTTGCATAAATATTTTAGCTTTGACATTCCAGCATTTTCTTACTATTACATTTTGAAAACAAAATTTTCTTGCAAAGCATGAAATGTTTTTTGAGAAGTAATGCGATGAAGGAATGGAGAATGGACATTAGGATGGTTCTAGAAACTATGATCAGATCAATTGAGGTTGACCATGAGCAGGAAAAATTTCATGGAAATTCTGTCTAACACTTGCGCAACTAGTTTACTTTTCTCAAAATTCAAGAATAGCGAAAAATGGTTTTGATACAGTTCAGACAAGAATTTTAGCAATTAGAATTTTAGGCTGATCTTCAAGTATGCTTGGTTATTTTAAGAGCATCGGCTACAATCCAAGATAAGAGTTCGTGCTCCGTTGATTAGTGCGTGATTTTAGTGAGCTTCATGCGACAACTAATGTAAGTTGCCTTTCAAGTACCCAGACATAAGGGGTGGAGGACTATATGTCGCCGAATATGGAAGAGTCCCGCGCGGATTTTCCTGCAGGAGCATGTCTGCGCAAATACAAGGGCGCGTATTTGTCCCAAATGATCGCGGGGACCGCCTTTTTTCGGGGACAGATAGTCCCCTACGACATAAGTAATGCGTCAATTTTACGCTAAATGATAAAGGAGACAATAAGAAATTATAGGAATGTGACAGAAATATGTGGTCTAAAAGACACACAACAACTAAACTAGAGAATATCGCGTTCTCCTTGTCCAAAACACTCGAACGCAGCAGTTTCTTTCCCATTCTGCTTTCAGACTTCTTGCTCTCTTTTTGGGGAAGAGCGCCCTCATATCAAATACCGAATTAGTGGTAAAGTTTTTATACATTTTTGGATGTTTTCGTAGCATATTGGTCACCATAGTGCTTTTACTTTATTTCGTTTATGCGTCAGAAGGATACCGCTTACAAATCATTGCAATTTCCGGAGACCGTTTCCTCCTTCGATTCCCTTTCTTGGCACTGTTGTACATTCAAGTAAATTTTATCAACACTTCGAATATTCCATTATTTTTTGCACTGGCGAGAAATTTCTATCACGTGTTCCATTTGTCATGGATTGATTAGAAAACGAGTGCTTGTAGAAGA